AATTATCCTCCCCATCAACCATTTGAGTGGTGGAAAATTCTCCTCCTTAATTAACACCACATCACCAATTCGTACATTTTGTTGTGTTGACAACCACTTCTGACGCTGTTGAAGAGAGTGTAAGTAACTCTTTTTCCAAAGGGCCCAAAATGACTGTACTCGTTTCAGCATGGCTCGATAGCGATGAGTAAGTTGAACCGAATCTTCCAGAACATTCGGCTTAGGCACGGATGTCATTGCGTCTCCAATCAGAAAATGTTCCGGAGTTAGATAAGTAAAATCTTCTGGATCATCGGACATTGGTATCAACGGACGGGAATTTAGACAGCTTTCGATTCTTGCAAGAATGGTAGCCAATTCATCATATGTTAAAGATTTCTCGCCAATGACTTGTTTGAGGTGATCCATTGTTCGGCGAATATTTGACTCCCAAATTCCACCGAAGGATGGAGCTGAAGGTGGATTGAAGTGGAAGTTGACTCCCAAATTAGCAAGTTTATCTTTAAGCGCTGAATGAATCGCGTTGAGATATTCTTCTTCGTCTTTTCGAAGCAGCGTGCGTGCACCAATGAAATTTGTACCTCGATCTGAGTAGAGATCACTGCATTTACCTCGTCGAGCAATGAATCTCTGGAAACTCATTAAAAATGCTTCTGATGATAGATCGATTACGGGTTCCAAGTGAACAGCTTTGATGGTCATGCACACAAATAAAACCACGTATCCTTTGTAAATTCTGCTACCTGGCTTCTTTGAAGTTCTCAGCAAAACGGGTCCACACAAATCAACTCCCGTGTGTAGAAAAGGCCGTTGACATGGTGTAACACGGACAGCCGGTAAGTTGGACATTAACTGGCTCGCTGTTTTAGGCTTGTTTCGAAAGCATGTGACACAGTTGGTTATCACTGATCGAACTGGATTTCTTCCGCCGAGTATCCAATATTTCTGTCTAATTTCAGCCAAGGTGAGTTGTACGCCGACATGCAATGCAAGTTGATGATGATGTTGGATAACCAATTTGCTGAAATGGCTTTCTTTTGGCAGAATGAACGGATGTTTTTGGTCATAAATGGCTTCCGAAAAGCTTAATCGTCCACCAACTGGCAACAATTCATTTTCATCCAAAAATGGATTCATTTTCGAAAGCGGATATTTAAGTTTGCTTTGACTTTGAACAAGTAGCGCTATGTTTCCAAAATTTTCCTTTTGCACAAAGGAAATCCAACGAAGATTAGCATTATTCAGTTCAGAAACGCTAAGCGATCCTCTTTTAACCTCTTGTTTGGCTTTCAAATATTGAAAAAATCGACGGAACCAAGCAGTATATCTCAATAATTGAAATAATTCAGCACAATAATCGTGAAGATATTGAGTTGGAGTTGAAACTACGTTGACAACATTGATTTTGATGGGTTTCAACTCATCGGCCAATTCGATTTCTCTCACCGCTTCCTTCTCCGTTTTTGTATTAGAGGGCCAGGTACTATCGGGCGATCTCAACCAAGCTGGTCCCGAGAACCAAAGTTCGTTGTTTTCAAGCTCTGATGGAAACAATCCCCTTGATAACAAATCAGCTGGATTTTCCTTAGTTGAAACATATCTCCATTGATGTGATTCGGTTTTCTGAAGAATTTTTGTGATACGATTTGCGACAAAGATTTTCCATTTTCTCGCATCACCTTTCAGCCAATGAAGTACGACTTGTGAATTACACCAGAGAAATACATTCGAAGCATTAAAACTTTGATGACGAATAGATTTTTGTGTATACTTGACAAGTTCCGCCAGTATCAAAGCAGCCGATAATTCCAAACGTGGAATTGTTTGAATTTTGATCGGAGAAACCCTTGATTTCGAGACAATGATTTTTGAGTGAATTTCTCCGTTTTCATCGACACAACGTAGATAAATACCAGCACCATACGCTTCAGTTGAAGCATCCGAAAAACCATGTAACTGAAATGATGAACAAATCGGGGATGCTCCAATCCAACGCGGTATTCTGATTGAAGAAAGTAAAGGCAGCTTGCCGATGAATTCCTTCCATTCGCGAAGTGTTTTTGTTGGCAAAGGGTCGTGCCAATCAAGATTTAATGACCACAATGATTTCATGAATATCTTGGTTTTCACAGTGATCGGTGATACCAAGCCGAGAGGATCGTAAATGCGAGCGATTGTTGATAAGACGGATTGTTTCGTTACGATCTCTTTGTCCTCATAACTAATGTTGAAATTCAAAGTGTCCGAAGAAGTATTCCAAAATATACCAAGCGTTTTGATTTTCTTATCCGGATTGATGAAAAATGGTATGCTAATTTCTCGATCAGACTCTGGAACCGCCGCTAAAATTTTCTCCGAATTACTTGCCCATTTTTTTGATACAAAAACCAGCAGAATCGAAAATATGTATCAAATCTCGTTGAATTTGGAGACCGCTACTAACGTTGTGGGAACCGGTGATGGTGTCATCCATGTAGATATCTCTTTTCATCACTTCCGCAACTTGTGGAAATTCATTGCTATTCAGTTCAGCAAGTTTTTTGACACACTGATTCGCTCCACAAGGTGCATAATTTGTGCCAAATCCCAGTCGACTGATACCATACTCTCGCAATTTTTCAGACGGATCGTCTCTCCAAAGAATTCGTTGATAAGTTATATCGCATTCAGCAACACGAATTTGGCGATACATTTGTTGAATATCACCAATGAAAGCTACTCGATGAAATCGCCAATTCAGTAAAATCGATACTTAGAAATCGTTGAGAAGCATTGGTCCGGTGAAAAGCACTGAGTTCAGCGAATTGCCGTTTGAACTTATTTTTGCGGCATTGTAGACTGGACGCAAACGAGTTGAAGTGCTGGTTTCTTTGATAACGGCATGATGTGGCAGATAGAAACAGTCATAAGCAGCACGACCGTCTTCGGTGTAATATAAACGGTCCGATTCTGTATCGAAAAGTTCGTGCATGTGACCTTGAACCAAGTAGTCGTTGATGTTTTTTGCGTATTCTTCTTTGAACTTTGGGTTGTACGCAAATTTTCTTTCCAATTGTAGAAATTGTTTTAGCGCATTTTCTCTCGATTTTCCCAAAACAGCTTCTGGATGCAGTGGTGTGCGAAATGGAAATTTCACGATGGAACGGCCTTCCTCGTCTCTCCGATAGTTTTTATTGAAGAAATCAATCACGTATTGATCTTCATGGCTGTGTATTCTTTCTTCCGAAATCTCTTCAATTTCGAAGAATTTTTGTAGAAGTTCACCGACTTGGACTGTGTTTATTGAAACTGACTGATAATCGTTGTTGTAAGCTTTTCCGAAAAGAATCCATCCCAACTCAGTTTTTTGAGCAGTTGGCGTTCCCTGGGGACCTTTCATGACTTCGCTGAGAACAATTTCGCCATAAATCTCCGCTCCCAAAATGATGTCAATTGGGCCGGTTTGATTGAAATTTGGATCGGCGAGTGGTAGATTCTTGATGTGCGACCAATTCGAAAAGAAGATTTATTTCGATGGAAGTCGATGAATCAACGATTTGAGAACTAAAGCATGAACTTCAGTCGTGAATGATGAATTCGTGGAATGAATCTGGAAGTTGGTGACACCATTACTCTTTGATTGCACGTGATCCAGATGATCCACATTGATGAGGCATCTTGTTTTATTCAAACCCAGTGTTTGAATTGCTGATTCCGAAATTGCACTAGCTTCACCTCCCAAATCATTGCTCTCATAGGAATCTTCTTGCCTTGTTTTGAAGAAACCAAGACTATTGCTGTCGCTAGCAATGTTGAACGAAAAATTGGTGTTTCAATTGTGCCCGTATTTATGCTCTTCGAAGTTAAAGTTGAAGCTGACATCGAAATCGATTCTCCTTCCATTTTTGAAGATCTGGTTGGATGCAGCAGGGTATGATGACGTGGATTACATTCGGCACAATTGGAACATTTCGGCTTTAGATGAAACTTGGATAGGCAGTTAAAACAAAGGTTCAAGCGTTTCGCTGTAGCATTCCTCTCCTCTGATGACAATTCCAGGAATTTAGGGCATGTACGAATTGAATGATTCGCAAGACAAAGGGCACATTTCAGTTCTGTTTGATGATTTGAAGTTACAGAAGATGCACGTGAAGATGCCCTCGAATTTGAGTTATATTTCTCTTGTTTGATCTATAGCTCCATTTCATCTCACAGTCGATGGACCAAGATTCATTGCTCGACGAGGTAAATGCAGTGATTTAATGGATTTGTGAGATTGACATTGTTTCTTGGATTTCGTCAGTAACGTCTTTCACTGACGGCAAATACTCCTTACTTTTTTCAGTAATTTTTTTCTCGAACTCTTTTCGTGTTTGTTCTGGCAATTTTTCAATAGCCAAGTAGGCTATGAATGGATCGATGGCTACTACGTCGATTTCGATATTCTTGAAAGTTTGGACGCTTTCATGAATAATGGTGTAGAGATTTCACAACGTTTCCAGCGATTCCGAATCGGATTTTTCAAGGCATTGAAGAGCTGATATGGTATTGTTGAAAATTACTCTTCTGTTTTCGAATTCCTCACGCAGTAGTTCAAGCGCAGATTCATAGCTCTCTTCAGTCACTGGTAGATGTTTAATTATGCCTCGGGCTTTAACTTGAATGGCAGCAAAAAGGTACTGAAACTTTTGGAATAGGTGGACCTTTTTGTTGGTGTGAATCATGGCATGGAATTGGTCGTAAAAACCCTTCCATTCGCTCGACTTGCCAGAGAATGTTGGCGGTTGAAGTGTTGGTGATTTTATTTGAGCAGAACTCGAAGCTTGTAGATTTTGTAATGCATGCAATAAGTCTACATTTCCTGGTTCGGTTGAAGTCGATGTTGTAGCTTATGATGGGTTCTGGGTCAGTAGATTTTGAAGTTCAGTTTCCACTTCTGAGTAGACCAAAAAGTATGTTTCCACGTATGTGTTGTATACTTCATCAACGAAATATGGTTCATTTTGTTCGTTGGTTGGAAATTTTATCGAGATTTCGCATAGCTTCTGATGAGGGTCCGCAGGGTCCGTATTACCCCCCCTTGAGTGCGCTAAATAAATTACCCCCCTCTGATTTTAGAAAAATTCTGTTTACTCCACTAAAAATGTGTCTTTTATTAAATTAAAGATGTATCACTGTTTTACATTGAATCTTTATTCAAAAACCATTTGTATTTTAAAAACGCAGTCATTGAAATTGTAATTAAGTTTTAGTTTGGTAGAGCCTCGACCTTCAAAATCTCAATCATTTTGAGCATCTCAACCGATGACCTTCTTATTGATCATCTTTTTTTGCGTCAGATTGCTGTGGATAAAATCGATATAATTTAAAATGTGCACTTTTTTTTACTGATAATTACAATTGATTACTCATTAAAAGTCACTTCACCTTTTTTCGAATAACACCAATTTCTATTTTGATCGTTTTTTCGCTTGATTTCGAGTTAGTTAACATGAGTATTTTGAAATCACATATAACGATATAATATTTCACATAACTAATTTTGAAGTGTATACAAATAATATACAAAATAAACTCAATACATATGTTCTTTTATCTTTTATACTTAAGAAAATTGATTTTGAAATGAATTTGTTCCGCAATTTTCCTTACAAAAATTAGATTTTACCCCCTCAATTTTATGGAAAACATTTGAAATTACCCCCCTACATTTTGATTGAAATTTGAAAATTTACTCCCCCTCGGCGCGCGGTCGTCAGAAGCTAAGAGATTTCGTCATGGGTTTTTCGAAACTCGGCGTATTCAGTCTCAAAGACTGGGAGGCGTTGATTTAAGCTTGATGGAGTTTTAATTTTTAACGGGTCGTTGAAAATTTCATGGAATCGAATTATACGGTCGAGCCTACTAAATTGTATTCGGAAAAGTTGTTCGGTTGATAATTCGGTCATTTTGCACAAACTTATAACACCACACTCCCAACTCAGTTGGATTTGTTCGATTTGAACAGTCAGCAGTCGAAGGACCAAAAATGAATAGAATAGAACCGATTTCTTAGAGGTTTTGAATATAACTGAACTTTATTTCTTATTTTTCTATGACAAGATTTCGTAGTCTTAAGACTATTCAGCGATTGTTGAACGCCTTGAGTCATTGAGTCATTGTAGTTGCATGACTTTTGGTTTGTTGTCAGTACTCTTCTTTGAATTGACATATTGCCAAAATCTCGATTGAGCGAGGATTTCATTTTGTCCACGTATGTGTTGTACAATTCCGTGTTGAGTTTTTAAATTCACGGGTAAATGCTAAAATGTATTTCCATTCGAAGTACGGTTTAAAGCCAGACCGTCTGTAACGTTTCCATGCCTTGTTTTCCTATTTTTTAGTGTTATTAATGATTTATTTTTCCATGGACATTTTTGTATCGATTTGATGATGTACGTGGGCACAAAGTGGGTTTTGGTGGATCCTCAGGATTGTTCAAAACCGCTCCTGGTTCTGGAAGTGGATCTCCAGGATGGACCAGGGCATTGTCAAACCTAGTCTGATCCATCCTGAAGATCCACCAAAACCCAATTCCAGAACATAATTTTCAAGCTGAATGTTGAAATATTTTGAAATAATAGGGATTTTGGTGAATCCCTGAGAATGTGAGAGAAAAGAGAGAAATATTATCGTTTTAATGCCATTCAAATGTGGCCAATATCGGTGGATGATGACTTTCAATTTTTTTCTTTAGTGCGTTGGCCTTATCAACACGGTCAACTGTGATCTTGGTGGAATCATTTGTGAAAAACAAATCCAATAGGCGACCCTTTGACTCATTACGGACATGATTTACCTGATGGACTCCCATGCTCATGAGTCCCTGAATAAAAGTGGCCGTTGACTCTGGTTGAAATTTAGTTGGAATTAAAATGTTGTCATTGTCACTATCGATTGACCATATCACATGCGGCAAATTAAAATCACCAACAAAAATTAGAACATCTTCTGGATCAGATGCTATTTGGTGCATGGCCGCTAAGTGCGAGTCGTAGATTGATTGCGGTGAATTTGGTGGAATGTATGCACCATAGATGTAGATGACGTGTGATTTAGTTGTGGCTTCCACACAAACATATTCCAGATCGTCAGCACCGGCAATTTTTATTTCTTCACTGGAGAATTTTTCGTTTTTAGTCGCAATTAGTACTCCACCGCCACGTTGAAATAGTCTGTCCCTACGAAAAACGGAATACGAATCGTCAAAAAATTCAGCATCATAAATATCTTTTTTGAGCCACGTCTCAGTCAGAATTATCGTGTCGTAATCGTAGGAAGTGGCACCACAATAGAAGCGCTCTTCTTCGGGACATTTATACTGAAACAGTTCTGGTAGTAAATTTTAGTGTAGAAAGCGCAATCATCCGATATGGCATGGTTTAGTGCCATCTGTTGCGATAGCCTTGATGATTTTCTGCGCAGCGATCGTTGAAGCACTAGCCTTGGAAATTCGGCTTCACTTGCGAGCAACAGCTCTTCTGGCAATGATTTGTACGTGCTTGCCGGCGATTCCTTTGTGGATGCTGGTTCTTGATGTGTCTCCAATTTGTTTGCTGAGCGTTCGCTTTGCCAAGCCCGTGTTTTGGCTTGGAGCGATCGATTGTTTTGTTTTGTTTCGTAGTTGGATTCGATTCCTCGGGTTGCCTCTTGGTACCAATCAAGTTTTTTAGC